TGACCTTTTAATTGCAATTAAAGAGGGATTTGCAAATAATAAAACATTTCCATTATCTTGAATTCACAAACTGGACAAACACCTTTGGATATTGCTGGGATAATTGATTAATTGTAACGGTATGAAATTATGATTAGAAATTTAAAACTTTTACTTCAAAAAATGAGTAAGGATATTAAATGGGCAAATGATAATTCTATTATCCAATTTGCAGGTTATGCTTAAAAATGTTATAAACTGGACCTTTGTGGACTAGTAAATTGGGTCAAGTTTTCTTTACACAGTATTTGCCAACTATGAAGGGCCCATCATATCAACCAATAGTTTCCCTTTTCTTATGAATGGCTTGATCCTTCTCTTTCGTTTGGATTGAAGAATCATTCATTTGCTGAATGTTAGTATTCAAAATCGAGGAGAATTGTAATCTGAAAAGGACTCCAATGGAGTTTCCAACAGCACAAGAAAATTGAATGGGAGTGTCGACTTTAGAACCTCTGTTTTCTTTTCTCTTCTAGTATTTTATTGTACATCCACATTCTTGCGAACAGTATATAAATATAGACATTGAATTCTTGAAGAGAACTATTTTCTTTTCGTTTAAATTTCAACTTTTTTTCTCCACCAAAAAATGTCACAGTACTCTAAAATAGCCTCACAATAAACCAACGACGAGTTTTTGACTAACCGATTCCATAACTCAGTTACCTGCAACAACACCAATAAGCTGGATTTCAAAGGATTTGATCTAGGTTCACCAGTATCACCATTAACGATTCGTGCATCTGTTAATAATGTTACTAGCACCACGGCCACTTCAAGTAGCAGTTCAAACTCCTCTGGTTCATTTTCCAACAGCAAAAACAGCAATAGTTGTACTCAATTGGCCAAAAAGTCTGAAAATCATTCCGGTGAATTTATTATTGTTTCTTTACCGATACCGAAATTACGTTTTCTTTTCTGTGGAGTAGTAAAAGCCCGAGATTGATAGTGAAGAACAATAGTAAATAAACTTATAAACGAGTCCTTTTCACAGATACCAGAATCCAAGTTTAAGTTGGATTCCTTTACCACATTAAAACAAGCAGAGCTTGAAATCACTGAACTTAGAACTCAATTCAAGCTCGAATAAATGGCTAACGAACTGATCTTTTGTGGGGCTCAAGCTCGCTGGTTTAAGCCTGCATTTCGGATTAGGATGTTGCGGCTTCTAACAAAAATATATGCACTTATAGATCAATATACCAACAAAAATCATTACAATAAAAAAGCATACAATGCATTACTTGTATCGGTCTGGGCTTCTGGTCGCTTGAGAGTCCTATTCGTAGATCACAAGTCACTTTCTCACCCACTGCAAAAATCACAAGTTTTCGATTAAAGCTAATTAAAAAATAATTAATGATAAATATAGATTAAAAATAAAATAGCATAGATCATATATAAGGTAATGCATGAATTATATCCCATATGCGATTTATTGTAATTCTGTTATCTTGTCATTGTCTAATAAAAAAAATACACTTTAAATACCTATTCAACTGTTCCTCTATGTAAAGATGTTCAAGCCCTCAATTTGGACACACTCAATCCATCTTATTTAATCTGAACCTAACTCACTTCTTGAAAGTTAGCTCAAGAGTAAAAGAATTATTAAGTCTTTGTATCTAAATATTAGAGTGTTTTGCAATTTTTTTTTTCTTTTTGTTTTGCACATTCTGACATGAGTAATATGGAGAATGTTTCAAACAAATATATATAATAAATTTCAATAAAAGAAATGTAAGAACATTAATTTATTCAGTACCTGAATTTAGAATCCCATTAAACGAAGCAATTTGCAAATATAATTCTGTAATTTAAAAGTGTAGTTCACGATTTTCCTTTTGTGATTTCTACAGTCATACACTCAAACATGAAATCAATAGAAGAAAAACTAGATCTTCTTTTCAATTTCTTTATCAACAAGTCGGCCTTCAATGAGACTAGTTAATGATTAGGTTTACATATTTAACTGTCTTATCATTCTGCCTCACTAGAGGTGCATAACCCCTTGTTCAAGTGATCATATAAGCACAGATTGAAACTTTATACATATTCTTAAATTGTATTTATTCGGTCCGTTTTCGCAAACCAGAAATAGTCGACAATAAATAACAACCTAGGTTGCACAGACACGGATATGAGACAACACGACACATACATGGGATACGATAATTTTTAAAAATATAGGATATCGACACGTTTAGGACGCGCTACATTAAATAAGTATAATTTATTAATAATTCAAATAAATAAACAATCATTTATATTAAATTATAAACATAAAATACAAAAAGAATACTTAATTTTTTATTTCAATATAATCAGTGAAATTCTTAAAATTAATGATATCATTTAAAATCATAGCATTTCTAGCTTATTTAAAGACAAACGGGCAATTTAAAGAAATCCAAAAGTTTTAAAAGAAATCAAATTAATTCCTATTGATATTACATATTTTAATTTTTAAATGTGTCTTTAAAATACCTTCACAAGTTTCCTTAAAGTGTCTTCAGATGTGTTCTTAAAGTGTTCGAAATTAATAAAATAAAATAAATAATAAGACAGTTTTTAAAGTGTTCGACAAGAATACATTAAAACTTTTAAGGTGTCCGTGTATCTTAGATAACATTCCATATTAAAATTTTTAACAAGAAAAACATTTATTATATTATTATTAGAATTAACACAAATATTTACAATAGATTAATAGTACGAGTTTTCACGGACCAAGTGTTGGATGGATATATAAAACATTTATGGTAGAGCTGTCTAATTGATAAAATATTAAATATGACAGTTAAAAAGGCAAAATGTACAGTGATGGTGTACCCACCAAAACATCTCTTATAAGAGTGTTAAATGAGACTTGAATGAGCCTGCCTGCAGCTCATCTCATTAATCACTCCATTTATGTGTTTCAGGTTTCTTTTTTCAGTTCTCTCTTCTTCTATGAATCATAAAAATGGCTTTACAGATGACAATTAAGAGTATCATTTTTCAAAAAATTGGCTTTCCAAAAACAGATGAGGTGTAGGCTTCTGCACACACATCTTCACTTTGAGTTCTAAATATTGATTTTTTCCCCTTGAAATTTCATAATGTGTAATGTTTACGACGACTTCTTGACATTAATGTGGACTTGATCATAGATATAGTAAAAATAGAAACAAAAGATTTCTACTAATTTGAATTTAAGGTTTATATAGTTGTTGTTATTGTCAGCACGTCTACATATGGACTTTATAATTTTTGCAAAATTGCAAGTTATGATTAAGAATCAATAGTTATTGTGATCTCATTTGAAAAACATTTATGCTCCCAACAATATTTAGGTAGTTAATGTATCATATGAGAGCGTCTTAAATTGAGATATAAGCATCTTATTGGATGGTCTGAATTGAGTGATGTTTGTTTAATGCAAGTATTCTCTCTTTTGAAAGCTAAATCAATCATTATATATATATAAATCAAATAGATTTTCCTCTTGTGCCCTCGCATAGGATTCTAAAAAAGTGATATGTATAATATATTATAATTGTTTGATTTTATATTTATTTTTGAATTAAATTATATTAAATGTGGTGGAGTTTCTCTTCTAAAAAAAATGTGGGGGAGTTTCACACATTTAAAATGAATATTTAATATTTAATTTGAGATTTTAATGATATAGGAAGTTATTTTTTATATTAATTATAAAATAAATCAAACTAATTAATTCTCTTTTTATTTTTTTTTATCTATTTATCTATGTAATTCTACTATTCTCCTTCTAAACTTTTCAATACATGTTTATCTATTGATTCTCATTTTTATGATAAGAAATCATGACTGCATTTTTTTTCATTGTTCATCTATTTTTATTTATATTTTTAATAACATTAGTCTTTTGTATGACGTGCGTGTTGTACGTTGACTATATTAGTTATATACTCATTATATATATATATATCATAAGTTTTATTTATATTAAAATAAATACAAGTGGTTAATTTGTATTATACTTTACTGTACAAATTACTTGTAATGTTATTTATTATGTACTTAATTCTATTATAAATAAATACAAAGTACAAGTGGTTAATTTGTATTATACTTTACTGTACAAATTACTTGTAATGTTATTTATTATGTACTTAATTCTATTTTTATATAATGAAGTAATCTTAGAATAAAGTTCAACTCAATCCTTAAACTTAATCCTTTAGTCCATAATTTAAAAATGTAGATTTTTAAAACCCTAATAGGTGCTCAAAAAGAAAATCAAATTATAACTCAATTTCCAACCCTCTGCTCTCAACCCTAAATCAATATCTGTGTACAACTATAATGAAGAATAATAATAAATTATTTTTACTATTAGGTCAATGAAATACCCCGAATTTTTATTTTCGAAACCTTTGAATTTTTATTAAATCAAAAATTTCTATTTTTGACAATATGGGCCGTACATAGTGAACAATTTTAATTTGAATTCAAGTTTTTGCAAATTGGGCCCAAGCCCCAATAAATGTCAAAATTTTTGAATCGAGAACAGTTAATTTTCGAAATAAAAATAAAAGGATCTATTTATATATATAAAATAATTTCCTAAAAATCCAATATGATTATAATTATATTTTTATTTTATTTAGTTAATGGAGGAATGTTATGAACCTAAATTAAAATAATTTAAAAAAAATTGAACCGGACTCGAACCGCGAATTGGAATTTTTCAAAAACCACACGAATTAATTTGAACCAAGTTGAAAAACTTGCAAACCGAAACAAAATCGAGCCGAATCATTGAAATTAGACCAACGGTTTTCGAATCGAACCGAAATGGTCTGACCCAAGATTTTTCTCCTTTTTCTTTTTCATAGAATTAGACCAAACCGGTTCGAATCGAACCGGAATGGTCTAGAAGCTTTAGAATTCTCCTTTCTTTTCTTTTCTTTTTTTCTTTTTTTCTTCTTCCAACAGCGTCGACCTCCACCCCCTCCCCCTTTCCCTTTTGCCTTTCCGGTCACCTGAAGCCAGTGCCATTCCCATCGCCTCCCGCTGCCGTTCCCGTGTCGCTCTCTTTCCCCCTCACCTTTGTTGTCTTAGGCTAGCGTAGCTAGCGCGGCTGTCGCAGGAAGCTGCGATCGTAGCACCCTCAGCCCCTCCTCCCGCATTTTCAGACAGATCAACGGCAAGGAGCTCCATTCACACCACCTGGACCTCGCCTCTAGTCCCTACCGTTACAACCATCCGACCCATTTCATGCTCTTGGCCTACTTCTCGCACGACAGAAAGAGAGAGGGAGACAGAGAGGTTGCGATGATCAAATCCGGCCACCTCGAATGATTCCGGTGACTGACACCAACAAGGTCGGGCGTTGGACTATCCCATTCTAATCCTTTACAAATTCATTGTTTTGATCTAATTTGCAATTTAATCGAGTTAGGAAAAAATTTGAACTTAGAATTGATCAAAATGGGACTTAGGGATTTGGGATTTTGATAGATAATGACATAATTGGTAGAAAATGACCATAAAATCGCGATCTAGTTGGGATTTGCAACAGGATTTGGCGTTGATTGATGAATTTTAGAACCACCACCCCTCCAGCCACCGTAGACGGCGGCGCCAGCGGTGGTTCCGGTGACCGGAGCTCCCTAGAGGCAGAACATTGTATTTTTCGTGTAGAGTATGAATATATAATTAGTTTTACTATCTGATATCAATTGATACTCGAACTGTAGATTGATGCAAATTTAGAAATTAGACTTCAAGCTGAAAAATCACTGAGAGTCGATAATACAAGAACTATATGATCTTGGAAAGATTTGATTAGCTAGTTAGCAAAGTAATTACATTTTGATAACATTCAAAACAAGTTATTTATATGAATTTGTTAATAATAGAATATTTTAGTTTTCTCATGAATAATCTAGTTTATATTGGGAAGTGAGGTAATTGGCATATAGTGTAAGGGTTTTGTTATTAAGGATTATTAGTGTATTTTGTTTTATATTTATATATGATATTGTTAATTGGATGATATGAGTTGCTTAGAATATAATATGTAAATTTGGGTAAAGTATGACCTGTTGTTCTTATAATCAGCAGCTAAGTAGGGGTGGCCATATTACGGTTCTGGGAACCGGAACCGTCGGTTCGAACCGGTCTGGAACCGTAATCGGAATCGGGCTGAACCGAAATCAGAACCGAAGATTTTCGGTTCGGTTCCGGTTTGGTTGATTGCCCGACGGATGGGCTGTGTGGATTGAGTTAATATTGAATGAAATTTTTGATATTTAAACAGGTGGATAGTCCCATTTTTAGGGAAAATGCTGCCGAAATTTCAGTAGAACCTAGGCTACACATAATAAGTTTATTTAGATTAATTCTATAACTTGATATTTAATAAATAAAGTGCTCTGATTATTTTATTATTATCATGATTATTCATTTAATTATTCAAAGTTTATTTAGATTAGTTCTATAATTTGGTACATAATAAATATAGTGCTACTGATTATTTATTATCTTTAGTATTCATTTAATTATGTACATATTTATTTATTTATTTATTTATTTGCATTGATTTTGGATGTATTTGGTGTAGTACGTTGAGAGAATTGTTTGAATAATTGTGCTGTGCATATATTGTGTTTTGTTTGTGTGGAATTGGGATGAAGTGGGTCACCATGGGACTGTGAGACCGTACAGTTATATGGATCCAATATGATTACCGTTAGCCGGGTAAATGGGAGATCGGCGCCCCCGTGTGCACCTACCGTTACCGTTACCGTTAACCACGGGTTGGTGGCTTCTCGTCGTTGCGCACCCGGGACAGTTCTAGATTTGAATCGCAAGGCCCGCAGGGTGGGCCCTCCCTGTTGTGAGCCGCTATGATGATCTAGATGGATGGAGACCACCGGTTGCCTCCTGTTTGGTATGAAAAAAGAAAAAGAGAGGATAGAAAAAACAATGAGAGGGCTGGCAGTTGAGGGATTAGACCGGTCGGCCAGTATGGGGGATCTCTGGCTCCTAGGTGCACGATGTTGAAGAGGGATGAGCCATGTGGGAGGACGGCTCATCGGGGGCTCGGTGACTTCCACTGACTAATTTCCACGTGATGTTGATTATATGAAGATGTAAATGATTGTGAGTGCTTGGTGATTTGCCATTTGTGTGACTGGCTCGTTTGAGCATATAACTAGTCGGATGACTTTAGATTGATATGTGTTACACAATTTTGTTGTACTGCGTGTATTGTTTGTAATAATATTACTCCTTAGGAAAAACTCACATGTTTGTTTTGATGTTTCAGGAAAGTAAGTCCTTCTTTAATACGATTAGGATATGTTCCTTCGGCGCAGGGCAATAGAGAAATTTTTCCTAATTCTATAATTATTTTTACTAAATTGTAATTATATGTATAAAAAAAGCTATGTATACAATAGTTAGTGACTCCGCAGTTGTAGTAAATTTACTTACATTTAGTCGCGGTATTATCATAGACGAATTATCATAGACGAGATGATTCTGTGAGCCCATATTAGAAACGTGATGTATTGTAAATTGGGCCCGAACTGTGAAATTTTGTAGAAGATAAATTTGGGCCGAGACGTAATAAAATCTTGAGGTTTATTTTTTTAGTAATATGGGCTAAATATTTGAAATTTATATTGAGATAGCAAATTTTAGTGTTTTAGGCTTACTACGGGCCTCGGGAGCCTTAAGCTTACCTGGGCTCTAGTGCCGGTCCGACCCATGGAAACGGGTCGTGACAATTATATTACCATATAATTTATATATATATATCTTATTTCATATTATATTATAGGAAAGGTGGAACCTTAGTGTTACTATATTTTATATATACATTGTATAGTATATAACATAATTTATTATTTTATCCAATCAAAATTTATTTTTAATAGAAAATTAATATGATCAATTAAAATTAAATTTTCTTTATTTTTTTACCAATAAAATTAAAATTCTTAATGATATTTCTGTCAATCCATAAACTTGATAGGAATATTTTTGATAACCCTAATGTTTCTCCGCATGTTTCTACTTTTATGTATTATTAGTATATTTATGGTGTGCGTTATTTGTATTCGTTTAATTTTTTATATTTATTCACTTTTACTTGTTATTTATACTCTCTTTTATTTTTTAATTTTAAATATCGATTATAAGTTTCGTCTTTTATTATTTAGATTTTTATAATATTAAATAAAATTTTATATGAGATTAATATGAATAGAAAGAATATTATAAAAAAATACTTTTTTTATCTCTTTCCTAAATAATATATTTTAAATTATAATAAAAAATAGAATCAAATATTTAAAAATAAATAATTTATTTTTAAAATATATCCAATCATATTCATACCAAACATAAAGAAAAAAGTTATTTTCTTTTTTTTATTTCTATATCTTAAAGAATTAAATATTTAATAAATGAAATATACAAAATTTTCAAATGTTTCAATTTTCAAATGTTTCATTATCATATATATTCATTAAAAATAAATTTAGCAAATATAAAAATTAAAATTTTGAAATGCTTAATTATATATGTATTTATTTACAAAATTATTATTTTCGATTCATTAGGAGGCCTGATAACTGAAATAATACTGCGGACTACACAACAATCAAATTGGTAACTCATCTAAAAACAAAAAAAAAAGACGTTTCAATGTAAATAGATATCAATAAAATATTATTTTTTTAAAATTAAAATTTTCAACTGTTTACCATTTAGGTTTAATTATGTAAAATCTATTTGAAAATTTACTTTTAAAAAATTTATCCAATCAACTCTTACAAACATAAAAAATAAAAACATTAATAAAAAAATTACTTTTTTCTTTTTTTTTTTTTTTATCTAAAAATTACTTTTTTCTTTTTTTTTTTTTATCTCTTTCCCAAATAAAATATTATATATATTCAATTTGAAATTTTATTTTTTTTTAAAAAATATCCAATCATATCATGCAAGCATAAAGAAAAAATATTTTCTTTTTTTATATATATTTTCTAAAAGAATTAAATTTTTAATAGATAAAATATGAAAAATTTTCAAATATCTCATTATCATATATATTCATTAAAAAATAAATTTAATAAAGATAAAAAACTTAAAATTTTGAAATGCTTAATTATTTATATGTATTTGTTTAAAAAATATTTTTTTTATTCATTAGGAGGTTTGATAGGCTGAAATAACACTGTTGGCTACATAATAATTAAATTAGTGAAAACACTTGTGGTCAAGAGGATTCAAACTTGCGACCTCTCATTCCTCATATAAGTGAGAAGACAATCAGACAACACATGATTGGTTGAAAAAATAATTTTTATAAATTATATTCAATCAACTAATAAACTATAATTTTTAATTGGCCTTCGTTAAGAGTACTTTAGAACATTTTAAATTTCATCAAGGGTGATATAGAAAATCTCATTATTCCTACATATTCCCACTTTTATATATAGTATAGATAAATGGTATAGATAGATAGATAATATAAAAAAATTTTATTCAAGAAGCTATATACATTATATTATTTTCTTTTAATTTTCTTTAACCATGCATGGTACAGGATATTGCTAGTTAATTATAATTTAGGATACTTGAGAAGTTGGTGTTTAAATTTTATCAATTTTTTAATTTTAACGCAACTATAATTTATTTTTATCATTAAATGTATTTAGCTAAAATTTTTATAGGAATATTAAAATTATTTTTTTTACTTTATATTAATATATTGAAATTTAATTATCATTAATTTACACTGTTTTATAGTTTTATAGTATATCATGACTTGCTTTTCTATCTGAAATTTTTCGATATAGATCTATATACACCATGAAACCCAAAAGATTATCACTAGAAAATAGTAAATTATTCAAGATAAATTAATTAATAGTTACAAGTTAGCAGCTTTATTGATCATCCACGCAGCAATTAGAAATATTTGAGAACGAGAAAAAAAAATTCTTATATATAGTTTGACTTCAAATATTGGATCTTGATTGATAAGATGGAGAACAAATTAAACCAGCTTTTAGGATTAAAACTAAAAACGATTTTTTTTTCATCATCATCACTATATACAATTAAGGGTGGCCATATAACGGTTCCGGGAACCGGAACCGTCGGTTCGAACCGGTCCCGAACCGTAACTGGAACCGGATCGAACCAGAACCGAAACCGGAGATTTTTGGTTCGGTTTCGGTTCCAGTTTTGTTGGAACCGCTGGTAGTTTTGTTGGAACCGCAACCAGCGGTTCCAACAAACCGTTCAGAACCAGATGGAACCGCCGGTTCTCCGGCCGATTAGAGCAGCCGATTCTAACCGATTAGAACCGGCGGTTCCAGCCGTTAGAAACTGTCAGTTTTTTATTTTTATTTTTTTTTAATTTTATTGTGAAATCTCTTTATTACCCCTCCCAATAACCATAAACGGCTACATAATGGCTAGTTTTAATGGCTAGTTTCAAGGGTATTTTTGGAAAAATAATTTTTTGAATTTATTATAAATACTTCATTTCATTTACAAATTTATTACAAAAAAATCTCTACTCTCTCTACTCTCTCTACAATATACTACACTCTACTCTACAATATACGTAGGCAACTTAATTTTTTTTTTTTTTTTTAAAAAAAGGTTCAAGCCCTTTTTTTTTTTAAATTATGTTCAAACTTTTTTAAACAAA